TTCCCGCGCTTCCATCATTCGCACCCATTCCGTTTTATCGAGTGGACCATTAGCGATCTATTGAAAAAAACCCACAGCTGCTTTAATATCACTGTGCCAGTTTAAACGTTGTAATCGATTAAGACGTGCCGTTCTGTGGTTTTTAGTCGTCTGTTTTTTTGTTTTAATAATCATGATCGCTCCAAAGTCACGATGGCTATCTGGCCGTCACTTTAATTTTATGTGTGTTCGAAGTTATTATGAAATTTGTACGACGTGACGCCGCCGAGGGGTGCCCGCTGTTTGTTTTGACGCTGTCTATAGAACGATCGGAAGGTGTTAATACGCTTTAAGGTTTGGCTTTAATTATATTAACTCGTATGTTTGTATGTACGTAATGTTTTGATTCGATCGTGATTTTATTTACGCCGATACAACTGAATGGTTTAAACGACGATAAAATGAATGCTTGTTATTCCAAACTGAATTATTTGTGTGTCTGGAATTATTGAATAAATGCATTGTAAGTTTTTCACATGCGTACAGCCGATAACAGTGTTCTTAAAAGGAATTTTTTTTAGATATTACGTTTTACAAGGTTTATGGTTCGAAATTATTATTTCAGTAAAAATGAAATTACTCTGCCTAATGTTGAATTTATGTTATGTTAGATAATTTTAATCTGAATCTTTGCCAGTCATCGAACACCTGGCGTATTTAATTTGAGGATTAGATACTTTTATTCGAGCTTAAGCGGGACTTTTCGCCAACGCATTGTAAAGGGTCGAAAGAATATTCTAGCAGAGTTAATTTGAAAGTGTTGGCGCTGGCAATACTGTATACCGGATATGACATTATCTACTCGAGCCAAGGGACACATGGTCGCATAGAGCAGTGGTCACTGGGATTTCGGCTGCGTTCCCGGACGGTGATATAACCACTAGTGCCGCTTGTCGTTATAATATTAAAGTTCAGTAATAGTTCAAATATTAGGATCAAGGTAAAATCGTTAGAACTCGTATAAAATAAACAATTCGCACCCTGCGTATAGCAACGTGACATCTGCAAAATTGTAATTGTTCAGGACGGCGGATTCAAATTATTATTTTTTCAAAAAAAACAGTGTCTAAACATATGTGCATACATATGTCCTTGTACTGCGGAGCATAAATCAGATACAACGTTGTTCTATTCTGAATCTCAATATCTATAAGTCAGACGAAAAAAAAATTAATGTCATCTGAAAGCGTAGACAATTTAAGACTTACCGATGATAATATCAAATTCGTTCCATGTGACCACAGAATGTTATTATACGCACGGTGCGAATTAATTGCACCTACCTATGTATATATAAAATATAAATGTTTCTCTCCCGTAAAGTTTCTTACGACTGCGATTAAACTTTCGTGGGCGCCTAACTGCAAAACTTTTGATGTTGTCAAAGTAAATCGGTATAAACATTTTTTTATTAACGAAAATCAAAACCGACTTCAAATATCTAGCTCTGTATTCATTTTATAATTGATTTTGAGGATTTCTTTTTTTTATGTGAATAGTTGCCAAGCGAGTTTCTGATGTTCAATGAATACCGCCGCCCATGGACATCTGCTACACCCGAGGGTTGCAGGTACTTTGACAACCTTTTGAATATTGGGCTTCTCTAAGTATCTCCGGAGCCCAAGACCCAATACCAATGAAATTAACAGGTCGAAATGATGTAGACAACTGGAGTTAGATTACGAACTAAAAGTTTAGGTTAAATTTATTATCCGAAACATACTCTGCTTCCCACCTGTTACGTTTTGACTTTGCAAGCTCAGTGGAACATGGTTAATCTATCGATCCGCTTCGTTTATATTAAATTGCTTCTACTTTTTGTATTGCTACTTGGCTCCAATTTTGTCTACAACAAAGTACATTCGGACGGCGGGCAACACTTGATTTTCAGCCAATCGTAGTGGTGGTAATGAGAGGGTTGTTTTGGCGGGGGCGGGGCGGCTGCATTGCCGCGGGGGAGAAATGTCACTGTTGGCATTATTATGAGCACAAAGGGAGATTTCTGATGAACCCGTACCAACCCCCTTGGTCTTTGACAGAGGGCTGCGCTTTGACGGCGTAAATATATATAATTAATCCAGTTATTTTAGCTGTTTGCCTGCATGCACTCTGTGAATTGTCCTTCAGGGAGTATTCGAGTAAATATCGAAATATCGGCGTTTATCGAACACTTCGGGCTCTTGAACGCCAATTAAACATTTCATCATTTTTATTACTAGTTTTAAATTAGGCCATTAGGTAAAGAATTTATTTGATCCCAAAGTCGTAATATAACGTCAAAAAATAATTATTGTTTTCACTATCGTATTCTCGCTCATACTTTGCTCCGTCTTTAAGACATTAACAAAAACTGAATTATAAAAGCCCGAATAATTTCATGCTTTTTCTACTATTTTTCACATAATATTAATTGTTAAGCGGCAAAAACCTTCGAGAAAATATCGTACCTACTGTTCATGGTAACTTTTGCGCTCAATTAAAATAAGATAAGTGACTTTTAACAATCGTGAAAGGAGGATGAAAGCCGTTAAAACGATTACGATACGAAAAATGTTAAATTTATAATTGTAATATGGACTATAAAATAAATTTACTTTTCGTTTTGAAACGTAAAACAAAAACGTTTTATAGTGCGTTAGCAACATCCCATCATAGAAAAACATTTCCACAAGAACATTCCGTGTTCGAAGATACAATTCAAGGCATTTATTATTTATCACCAACCATGATAAATAAGTATAAACATGATAATCTTGTAGTATAAATAAATAAAATCACTTAGTACATATTTCTGTTAGACAGAACTCGGTGAAACGATACTAATAATACTGAAATAGTGACATGATTGAGTCGTTCCTGGGTAAAACGTACACCGTTCAAATTATTATTTTTTTATAAAGACATACATTGAATATACAGGGAGATTTTTTGAGAAGTGCCCAAATTTACACAGGAGGTTCAGACTCGGTAGTATAATCGTTTATTGAAATAAAAAACAAAATCGTTTTTCCAAAAAAATGTCATTATATTCCGTAAAAAACAGAACGTGTTGTCAATGCGGTAGTCATACATAAAGACCTAAATTTTACTGTGCACGAACTTGTGTGCGTGTTAGTTATGAATGATCGCGCGTAAAATAAATGCATATAAATCACGCACTTTTTGAGATAAGTTCAAATGAATGTAATTAATTACTTCCGAGTGATTATAAATCCATATCATTTTTTATATAATATTATTTACGTCTAGAATTTAATAAAAAATGGATACACTAAGAAAAGCCACCCTGTATACAACGTCCTCTAACTTTTTAAAGGCGATTAAAAAGCTACAATAGGGCAAATGCATATGGGAGGGGTTGGTTTGATTTATAGTCGCGGGGTCTTTTTTCTAACAAAATGGTTAGCTTGACTTCCATCCAACCAAATGGTACTAACAGCTCCTTCGCTTTCTTTAAAACACAAACAAATAACCGCACATAACACCTGACGCTGGTATTTCTAATCTTCTTCTAAACCAATTATGAGAATGTCATCATTGACCTCAACGTCAACACGGGGGATGTGGCGGCAAAATCATGGATGTCTGTTGAGCGTCTACCCGTATGATGTAGGAACTAATACTTACATAGTATCTAGGAATTACGCACTATCGCATAATAACTACTCTTACGCTTTGTTAATGCGTAATACTTGCCATTGACACAGTAATTACAGCGTAGTAGGTACATCGAATTTTTGCTTAAGCAAGCCGTGATGGCTCAGTGTCCGGGCGCTCGCTCTTAATTCAATAAACTGTAGCAATCTGAGTTCAAATCCCGGTGCCGGTGCGAATGAAATAATTGTTAATTGCTATTTTAACTGCCGACTAATCACGTGCTCAGCGGAGAGGGAAAACAGCGTGAAACCTGCATATTATTGAAATAATGACAAAAAAGCCGAGCAGCGGATTACAATATACAACGCGTCATTACGATCGGGACAATAAATGAACACACATATAGGGGATAACTTTTTAAAATTGTATTAAACATTTACATTCTTTAAACATCAATACTTACAGAGTTATTAAATTGTCCAAAACAAAGAATTTTAGATCACCTTTACGTATAAAACTGTAATGTAAAGTTCATTTGATCACCTTTACGTATTCAACCCATTCATATGCTATGTGATCTTATCACATAGCATATGGATGGGTTCAATGAATTTAAGAGACAAAACATACTGTTAGAAGGAGAGGCTTGTAATGCGACGCTGTGGCGCGAGTTGTATATGTGTTACAAATTTTGTTTCTCTTTTACTTAATTAGTTTGTTGGAAAATTTTTTTTTAATTATGGATTTAGTTTAACCTTAATAGTTTTTTATGATTATTGGGAAGTAGCGTTAGACGTGTGTCCATTTATTGTCGCGATGGTAACGAAACGCTGTTATAAGCTGTTACTTGGCTTTAGTTTTCATATTGAATTAATTCTTTAGTTAATTGAATTTCAAACATTCGTGAACGTCGTAACGTTATCAAGTTCTTGTTCTCCGTAGGCCTGCTTTGTAGGCCTTTGCTAAAGGACAATCGGCGGACAATCGGGCGGGACATATATATAAGGCTACCACGCAGTTAACCTACTAATTAAGTTGCCAGTGCAACTATTTAGTGAATCCGATTTTCTATAACTCTTTAGTCGTCGAGTAATGAGCTTTCGCACTCTCTCACATTTAACTGTGGTAGAGCCACGCAGCAGCCTCGGCTGTTGCACGAATGGGCAGGCTCGTCCGGGTAAGTACCACGACCTCACAGAAGACCCGCGTGAAGTGGAAGTACAATATTTTCGCGTTTCGTCCGGTGAGTGATGTAGCCGGAGCCCAATTTCCAAAAGATTGTCAACTCGGGTGTAGCAGATGTCTATGGATGGCGGTGTTCACCTAACGTCAGGTGAACCGTCTGCTCGCTTGGCAACTATTCACATAAAACAATCGCGGCGTTCCGATGTGCGCGTTTTTTTTCCTCCGCGCGCATCCGAGACGCGTGCCGGCCAGCTGCCGGCCCCGCGCGGCCGCAAGCTGCGCCCCGTATAAGGGAGCGAGCGTCGCGCGTCCGACCACTTTCGATCCGCGCCGCGGCGACATTGACCCCGGGATCGGCGCGTTACGTAATTTTTCGGCGCGTACGTGTCAACGGCCCCGGCCTCGGTCGGCGCGGTGCCGCGGCCCGCGCCTTTTGCCGCGACCTTGAGCGTCGGCGACGATAGGCGCGAACTAGCGCAGGCGTGAGATTTCGCTACGCGTATCCACATGGTAGCTACGGACGCGGTCGTGTTTAATTTTTGTATTGTTTATTTTTTAGATTAAACCCCCGCCAGGTATTTTTACGTTTGATTAGTGTCTGTAAATGATTTTAAATAATTGTGAAGGTTATCTGACGGTTTGGATGTAAGGCACTTGGAATGAGAAGCACATTGAACTTGCTTTTAGTCAGTCAATATTTAGTTTTAGATATAAAGTTATACTGTTAAGTTCTATAAAAACGCGAAGCTATCTAAGCCGTTCACTGACGCCAGAATTATTAACCGGAGACCTAAAGACCACTCCACTGATCGTTCATTGTAATGGGCGGTACGTCGGCATTATAATCTTATGCGAGTTGCGTCCGTTTTTATCGCTCGCCCGTCGCTTCGCTTTACATGGTGCTCACGACCCCATCGTCGTTTTTACTCGCCCCGCACGGTTCCTTCCTTGCGTTCACTGTCCACAATTATCTTTTTAACTAGCACGCTGTTTCTTTTTTAGTTTAGAATCCAATACTTTTTACGTTTAGGTATTTAAGCACAGACATTACCGATGAGTATATATAAAAGTTGATTTACTATATGACATTAATATGAAATATTAAACTTAATAACATATTATCTAAAAAGCCCAGCCCACGTGGTATGGTGCCAAGAAGCTTAATAGTTATTATTCTGATTTACTTACCATTTATTATAATTTATTTCCTCTATTATTGTTTTTGTACAATGGACCTAATCTTTATTGTGTTTTACCACAAAAAAATAATAACAATCTGTGATTCAAAATGTTAATAGATTGCGTAAACGATTAATGATGAAAATTATTAATGTGTGCGTAAATCAACAATAGAAGTTGGCGGCATGATTAACTTGCTAAAATCCGCCTTAATTCACGTTCATTTTTTATATTTTTTTTATTATTATGCTTAACTACACTAACTACTAAAAATAATAAAATTAGTAAATATGAAATGAACAAATACGAAATTTACACGTAAACACGACATGGCTCATTTCTTACGTATTAGAATAACATATGACACCATTATCTTCGTATTGAACACTATGTACGTGCGTATGCAGTTACCACTTACCTAATGATGCAGGTATCATAGTTCCTCTTCCCACGATTACTACAGACGTTATTTTTTTTGCACTTGGCGCGTGCTCATTAAAAAAAATATGCATTTTTCAAAAAAAAAAATAGTGCCATTCAACAACATTTCGCAAATATGGTCTGCATTTTAATCGCGAACCCCGCCAACGCAATAAATAACAATATTATATGTGACCTATCTTTTTCAATTCCGCCCCTCTTCGCGATCCCCGCTCATGTCAGCTTAGGTTAAAAGATCATCAGGTCTCTTGTAATAAAGACGTATCACAAGAATTCGTAGGTTATTTTCCAATTATGTAAAGGGAAGAAATTTTAATTTAAATGAGGATGAAATATTTTAAATATCGAACACGGTAAAGATACGATATTAACACGATACTCAAAAGAATACAGCGGGAACGAGAAGGGAGTATAATTGAATGCAACATTTCGAACACCAAATGAAATTAATATCGCCCCGGCAACGGTCAGTTGGCGGCGTTGCGCCCGCACATAAAACGTACAATAACTCCGTCGTTAGGACACCCGACGTGATGCATTTGGATAATCACGAAAAGGGTATTAAAAATACTGGGAACTCGTATACATTTCCACCGACTCGTAAAAGCTCAAAGACCCGAACGTGCCGCCGCCGATAATAGTTACAGCTTTGAATATCTCGCGTGTTTTACACGCCATAGTGTAACGGGGTCCCAACGGAAGGCACATCGAGACAGGTGCAATAAGGCGTCAGAATGTTTTGTTGCGCATTAAACAAAGTTGGACGTTTAATAAACACGGCGCTCTTTCGAGAACTCCAAGAACGCCACGGATGCGATTTAAGAGAGCTTTCAACGGCTGTCGCGACCGTGCAGTTGGTTCGAAAGTTCGCCGTCGGAATTAATGTTATTCCGTTTTTCTTATTACACGGGCATTTTAGCTTCTAACTTAACGTGTGGTTGAGGATTTTTCTAATTAAATTTTAGCGCGGCTTCTTAACTAAAACGTCAACACTTTTTTAACTGCCGCGTTTAACTCAAGTTTATCAAAAATTTTATATTTTAATAGACAACTCATTAATAAAGACAATACACGAAAAGTATCTCTTGAAGGAATTGTACGGGAGTTCAGTTCTAATGCCGTAATAGCCGTGATAGCTCAGTGTTCGGGCGCTCGCCTTTAATTCAATATACTCGAGCAACCTGAGTTCGATCCCCGGTGCCGACACCAATGTAAATTGTCAATTTTAAGTGCCAAATTATCACCTGCTCAGCGGTGAAGGAAAACGTCGTGAAGAAACCTGCAAATTTTCGAAATAACATCAAAAAAATATTTCGAAGATATGTGAAGCCCGCCAATCCGCAGTGGATGCCTTTGCCCAGCCGTGGGACATGTATAGGCTGATACTTTCAGTTCTAATCAGGGTTGTCAATTACAATCATTAATCAAACAAAATTCTTTCTAAACCTTATAAAAATGATTGCATTAAACGAATAAATTCCATTGAAAAGCTTATTGTCGTCTCTGAGTGAGGACGTGTTTATTTGCTCTTCTAACTGAGAGCAGCGGAAAGCTTGTGGTCGATTATTTCGGCTCCATTAATCGCACTTCAGACCTTTATCGTACAAGTGTTCCTATAACAAGACGGGGAGGGGTCCCGTAGATGCCTGAAACTTTAATTATGTGTATTGAAGGAGTTGAACGCAGGTTTCTCAGACACTCGAGACGTCTGGTAGCATTAGATCCTGGCGTAGAGTACTATAGTATAGAAATAATTTGTTTGCCTAAATACAATACCCTCGGAATGAATTTTTAAACAAAAGTAAAATAGAGGGTTCTTGTATTAACTGATGTTTGTGCTTTCAGTCCCGAGACTATTAAAGCTTCATCTGACGCAGAACCAAGCCAAACCCGGGTTTGGGCCCTCCGTATGCGTTTAACTACGGCATGTCATCTAAGGGTCATCGAGGTTGCGGTGCGGACCGAGATCCCGATGGCCGTCGACTGTGTTTTTAGGTAATCGGTGGCTGGGGGCGGTGAGAACCGCCCTGGAACGTGGGTGTACCTTGTGTGCGCGTTGTGTTGGTCTCGCCGTGCTCGGTGGCGAGGGCGAACTAATGTGTTTGTTGCTACACTAACTGCGTGTGTAGTAATATTCGGCGGGACCCCCGACGGTGGGTCCGGCGTACCTAAGTCTCCTTCCTAGGCCGGGTCGATGAGGATGTTTCGCGGGCGACGCTTGTTGACGTTCGCGTTTGGATCGGGTTGGTAATTTGCTGCAATTGTGTAGCAATGCGTAGTGTCATGTTTGTTTTCTTAAAACGATTGTACGTGTCGTAAAACTATTATACCTTTCTAATGTCATATGCTGTTTTTCTTAGCGCTCCAATGATGCAAAAAGCGTTTCAATTGCTTTCAAAAAACACGATGTTATTAGAAAAGCTTGATTTTTTTATAATTAGTTTTGTAATCGAACACACGGGACAGAGCGTTGGTCGACTTTAAGTAATTACAGAAGGCCTTTACGTTTCGCACTGTTAGGGAAGTCGTTAGTGATTTTCATTAGCCGTCAGGCATTATGACAGTTACTGGCAATCAATAAAGTATTATGAATGATTGGATACCGGGCGAGAGCACCTGTTTTCCACCGTGGTGATCTTTTGACCTTAAGCGTGTAGTTATAGCCGCTAGCGCAAGTTAGACCTCAAGTCCCAGAGGTAGTAAGATTTGTAAATTACTGAAAATTTTGAAAACTTCGAGAACGCTACGGACGGGAGTTAAGATAGGCTTTAGCGTCTGTCTTCAGACCTTCGGATAAACCTGATAGCTTCAGCGATAGTCTATAGGTATAAGCGAACAAATATAGCAGCTATTAACACCGATTATTTGGGATGGTTATAATATATATTACATTACTGTCTTTTAATAAGAATGGCTTTAGCAATATATTATGTTGTAGGGTAAAAACCTTAACATGGTATTGTAATTAACAACAGGATACATAAGGGGACAGTTGTCCCGGGTGGTAAACAGAAATTCACTGTCCGGAAATCATCAAAAGTTCACCTCTTATACACTTGTCTAATGCTTACTTTATGCTAAATTAAGCGTATTGTCTAGACTGTCTTATCGTACTCCTCAGAAGTGGCCTAAATCAGTAAACAAGAGCCAGACTAAGATATTTTTTTGTTTTTTTTTTTTTTTTTTGTAAACATTTCCATTGCTTTAGGATAATATTATCCTGTGTTGTAATGACGTTTTACAAACATAAATTTCACGCAGACAAACACACAGATGCGAAACAACTATCTGTGGATTACACAAATAGTGGTCTCGTGTGGGAATCGAACCCACGACCACTGACGCCGAAGCCAATACCTTGGCAACTGCGCCACGGAGTCATCGAAACAAGACCACAACGAATAATGATAGAGTTATCTTAACGTTAAAGACCATCGATGACTCGGGTTGAGTCTTAGCTAAGCTATCGGTTTCGGTGCTGTGGGCCGAGGATTCGATTCCCACACAGGACTACCTAGTATTTGTGTGACCCGCAGAAATACTTGTCTTGTGTGTCGAGTGAGTGTTCAAGATCTGGGTGTTTGTCTATGGTATGTCCTTACAACTCGGGGTATCCTACAGTAAAGGTAGTTTTGTAGTAAGATTCAATTGTATGTAACTTAGGGTTTAAACACGTTGGGCGGTAACATGCGTTTGAAAATTTATTACAAATTAGCTGATACCCGCGAATTGTCTGCGTTACTTATTTTATTAACAACATACCCTACTTCATGAACACTCATCACTGAACACGCAGTGCTCATAAAAATCGTTATTTCTCAAAACTTTAATGATTTTAAATTGAGATATCACATTATTAAAGGGTCAAGTATCTAAGAAATCAAACTTGAAGAATTGATTGAAAGCTACCCAGTAGTAGTAGCATACCTCTATAATTTTATTTATATAAATCACCGCTGCAATCTACTTGGCTATGGATAATGCAAGTATAATAGAATTATACTGACGAGCCCAGCCACATGCCGCATTCCAGTTACGTGCATCCTAATTACGCGATAATTAAAATCGAGTTGCGTTCGAACCACCATCGGATGTCGAGCACGCGACCGGCGTGTATCCCCACCCTCGCCACTCCAACCGCAAGGGATTAGCCGCTGTGATAGCATCACAATAAAGGCTGAAATCGCGTGGCCGTCGGCGGATTAGCGTACGGATCGAATCACGCGATCGGGCTGCAGCCTGGGGCCGCTTGGAGCGCGCGAAGGCGTGGGAACCGCGGGCCGGGGCTGATATCCTCGTGCTACAATTTCGCGGGCCGCGACCTGGTCCAATCACGAAACGTCCGAAGCATAGATACCGCCGCTTATTGGCTCTGCACCTCTTCGTGGTAGCCACGCGAAGCGGATGGATGGTGATGCGGCATCTCCGAGACTGGCTTGGAGTGGAGGCGGAGAGTTTGCTGCTGCGCTTTATCTGCTGGTTGTGTTACTTATAGACGCACTCTTTCTTAACCCGTGTATGCAGCCAACAGTAAAGCGTTGCAGTTGCCGAAGAATAATGAAAGATCGAGTTTTATTACTTTTGAAAACCTCCAGGTTGAAAAGATTAAACCTGAACGCTGTATGGGAGACTAGGGATGTTTCACGAAAAAATACTGACAGTATTCATCGCAGGTAACATATATTTAGGAAATTCGATTTTTTTTACTTAATAACTGCTTCATGAAACTAAATGTGGTTATTGCGTTTGATCAGTGCAAAGTTAAAGGAATTATATTTGAGAGGCGGTAAATTTTTAAACATTTAAGGGAGAATAGATCTGAGTTTTCTCCTAACAACGGGGATGTCCGTTCCGCCTCTTTCTTACGACCGGTGTAGTTCTCAAGTCCTGGTAGCAGACCTTAAAATGACACTATAGTAATAGAGACCACAGGCCTTTAATATTGGACACACATGTACGTCCATGCATGTGTATAGGTATCTATGAATGTGGAGGAAGTGTAGGAGATGACATCGTCTCTCAAAACCATTTACAACAGATGTAGCATGACCTTTGAAAGCAATTGATGGCGATAGCCTCTGCCCGTTTGGTCTGGTCTGTTCTGCGTAAGTTGTTGCTGTTCTACAGCGAACGGGATACGATGGGAATCAATGAGGCCGATAAGGAGGAAGCAGAAAAGGCGTCAACCGAACCAACGACTGGGGTTACGTCGAGATATGCATCGATCCACCGCGCAGTTAAGGGGGCTGTAGACATGCGAGCGCAGTGTTACGCGAAGCGGATTTGACGCTATTTGACGTGCTTTATTGTTTTGACAGGTAAATAAGAAGATGGTTTCATTAGCTTCGAAGTTTACAACAAGTGCATATTATATAGGTATAGATAGATATTCCAAAGAGGTGACCACAGATTGAGTATTATTTATAAGTAGTAAGTGGTGGGAAAATAAGGCGTTTTAACTAACTAAACGCTCCAAATATAGATACTGGTATTAAAGTTTAGATAATATTCATTGATATTTATGTAGCTAACCAGCATTATTAGTATGCGTGTGGATTAGGTGAAAAGAAAGGCCAGTATTTGTATGCACGAATGGTACGTGCATGTTACATTTTAATAAATGGATTTTTTTTATGCGCGAAGGTGGCAATCGAGTGGCGTCACCACCACCACCGTCCTTAGACATTTGCATCAATCGCAGGGCTCATTGCCAACTCACATTATAGTGGGCCCCGGCCACCCCACTCACCCGAAACGCAGAAGTAGAACAATTACACTTCTCGCTCGTCTTATGTGAGAAACAGCGGAGACTGTTGCGTGGCCTACCGTTCATTTATTAATGTCCGGATTATTATGTCATTGACATTGTGAATATTCCGCTCCGCTTCACAATGCATACTGAGGCGAATCTCGTGATTCGCGGGTCACGCGAGCTCTGCGGCGGAGCGCCCGAGCCCAGGGCTGCTATTCCCCCCCGTAATGCATTTGTTTGAATAAATTATAAGAGATTGTTCTCTGTTTGCGTGGTCCCCCTCACGGCCGATTGACCTTCGCGCCAAAGGCGCCCTTTGAAGTATTACGCGATACATGCAACGTCATAGCTATATCTACATCATATTTACATATGTATTACACACACACACACACACACTAAACAAAATTTAATGTGCCATGTTTTCAAAGTTTTAATCCATACATAATTCCTGTGCCGCGATTGTTATGGTATTTTGAGTAGGCTTATTGCCATCGGGCATATTGCAAACGTGCATATGTTTGAATAATGTATGTTGGTTCGAATTGGACAAGATATTTGCCAACTGCTATCTGCTTTAAAATATTGTTTCTACCACGCTGAATCATTTACTGCCAACGGTATTTCCGGATATAAATTGGGGTCCTTCAATAGGCAATCTTATTCCTACTTCAAAACCTTTATTCAAATAAACTGTTGCTTGTACGCCACTTCCAACAAAAAGATGGGTTTCAGCCAGTTACGCGTAAGTAAAATATATTGCTGAGTGTAGCTTAACGATTCTATAAATCTTTTACTCGGAAAACTTTTAATGATTTGGCACTTTTATTTTTTTTTCATCCTCAGTAAGGGATACTCCCCTTTATTCCACGCGCCTAAAAAGCAAATTGTACAAAAATCCAAGAACAGTAACAGTTTAACACAATCTGAAAAAAAGTCTGCATATATCCTATGTTATGTTATTGTATATGAAGTTGTCCCGTCTTGGATTGAAACCTACAACATATATAATTCTGCAACATTTATATTAATTTAAACGTTGCAGAAATGCTTCTCAAACATATCTAAATATTTAAAATAAAATACTGTGTAAATAAATATTATTTAGGCAGATTTTAAAATATCATACACCAGGCTAGCATATTGTAGAAGTAGGTATGTAGATCGGCTTGCACTGCGTGTAATTATTACTCGGTATCAAATATCCGAGCCCTCTGAATGCCTATCGTATTAACATAGACTACGCGTGTCCACACCAGCAGAACTAATTCATCTATGTATGTGCTCAAGTAAGAACTAAAGATAGTTTGAGCTAAAAACAGAAACAATGGCATTTAATCATCACATACTCAACGATAAACCGCTCAACCGTTTTAATCATGCACGGCTGATTACCTATATCACCGTAATATATACGATCATCATAAATAGCGCCTTTAAATCGTCGTGGGTTCGACACTCAATCGTTGTTAAATAGAACGCAACATAAATCGTAATAATGCAATAAGCAATAATGAAAATAAATTAAGATAAAAACTGTAACACTTACTCGCAACACGCAATTGAGTATAGTTACACTAACGTTTTTGTAGATTTCATTACGCTATGTACCACAATTTATGGAGGACCTGCCTTTAATTTTATGTTTTCCACGCCTGTATTTTTTATATAGTTAAACGGTAAAAAATGTTGTTTTTCGGTTCGGAATTATATCGTCATGTACCTTGTGGTAGAGCCAAGCAATGGTATGGCTCGTCTGAGAAAGTGCCTCAGCCGCACTGAAGATCGGAGTAAAGTATTTATTTTACGTTACATGAACCGTGAAGGTCACGACTACATGACACACACACTCTCTATCTTCTTTGAATATTGGCAACGTAACTGCAATGCCACAGGTGTTACGCTTTCCTTCATCATCATCCTCCTACCCATATCCCAACTAGGTGGGGTCAGCACAACACAATCACAACAAGTGAATTGTGTTGTAAGCGGATTTGGCTGCTTTTACTACCGGCCGCCTTCCTGACGTCAACCCTGCTTGAGAAACAAACACACACATCCGGAACAGTTATCTGTGGGGTCACACAAATACTTCCCGTGTAGGAATCGAACCAGTGACCTCCGACACCGCAGTCAATAGCTTAGTAAGGGCGCTTAAATATGTGAAGAGTGACAGAATGACGGCTGCAATATACACACAGCTTCTAACACTTCCCGACTGAAACTATAAGGACGTATAGTACCGTAGAACATAATTATATATTTTGATGACTCCGTGGCGCAGTTGTCAAGGTATTGGCTTCAGCGTCGGGGGTCGTGGGTTCGATTCCCACACGGGACAACTATTTGTGTGAGCCACAGATAGTTGTTTCGCATCTGGGTGTCTGTCCACGTGAAATTTATGTTTGTAAAATGTCCCTACAACACAGGATAATGTTATCCTAAAGTAAGGGCAATGTTTTTTTAAAAAAAAAGAAAAGAAAAAAAATATGGTAATTAACGTAGCCAGCCTATTGGCTCTTAAAACTAGAGGCACGTGGTTCTGTTGTGTGATTCCACGTCGAATAATTACTAAGTCGTACGTACAAGTAACTGTTCGTTGGCAATGAGCTATTGTGACGGAGTTTTCGTTTAGTGAGTACGGTGACCAATTAGCACTATTTAAAAGTCGACAACGAATCTACCTCAGGTGTTGGTCCATGGGCGCCGGTAATCACTCAACATCAAGTTAACCGGCTGTTCGTTTGGCAAATTTTCAATAAAAAAATGTGGTCTATGGAGGCGCTGCCTTCGGAACTCCCGACGGGCATTTTAATGTACACTTCGCAGCGGACAGATAGCATCGGCGCGTGACGCAGACCTTTTTAAAGTGCGGTTTAATGAAATGATTATGAACCTGATTCATCTCTAACTTTTATCAAAGTCAAAGTCAAATAATCTTTATTCAATATAGCCTAAGCTCTTATTGAACGTCAACAAAAATCTACCATCGGTTCACTAACCTAACAGAGAAGAACCGGCAAGAAACTCTGCGGTTTTGTTCTTTTTTTTGTGCTTGTATCCTCTTTAAAAGCGACACCCTCATCACTACATAGTATAAAACAAAGTCGTCCCGCTGTGTCTGTCCCTATGCATGCTTAAATCTTTAAAACTACGCAACGGATTTTAATGCGGTTTTTTACTAGATGTAGTGATTCAAGAGGTAAGTTTATATGTATAATACATTGCACCCATGCGAAGCCGGGGCGGGTCGCTAGTTTGTCTACAAATCCAGTCGCAGTGCTTAGAAGCAAAAGTTCAGACAAACATGAACGATTATTTGTGGAACTCGCGGTTCCAACCTACAGAACGGCTCGAAATAGCTGTTAGCAAGGCGACCATTTCAACCATTGCGCTTCCCTGCAGCCTTAATTGATTGCTGTTTGCGCAGAACTCAATATATTGACTTCCTGTTTGCTGCACTTTATGTTATACTCGATCGGACAATACGTAAAAAATGGTATAACATTATGACCAAGGCTACTGACGACCCAATTGGCGTAGTGGCTACTGACGTGGTCCCTTGCGCTAGGGAGTGTGGGGTGGATACTCACTACGGTACTATGAGAAAAAGATTGAGCGAAGAACGTAATGTTTTTCTAGTGACTGGGTGTTTATATACTCGCACTCGTGATATGTATTTATTTACAAAAGAAAAGTACGTTTAAGTGTGTATCGGCTACCTAGTACTTATAGCACAAACTTTGCTTAGTTCGGAACTAGATAACGTAAGCTTTAAGTGTGTCCCGATATATTGTACAACTATACGATATACTGTACTAATATAATCCATACTAATATCATAAATGCGAAAGTAACTCTGTCTGTCTCGTCTTTCACGCGAAAACTACTGAACCGATTTAAATGAAATTTGGTACACAGATAGTCTAGAGCCTGAGAAAGGACATAGGGCATAGGACTTTTTACTTTTTATTGTTTTTAATTGGAAAAAAGTGTATGTTGCATCTATGTAATCGCGACTCGCGGACTTGCCGCCCGGGGGAACCGACCAATTACCAACTTCCGCGCCCCGCGATTTTCGCAAGCCAGACGGCTCCCTCGCTTAATTTCTCATAATTCGCGGGCACTCGCCGAAAACGCCTCGCGTGCGGTTTTGGCCATGTAATTTCTTGACGACCCTCAGGATTTGAACTGGGTTGTCTGATTTCCCGCTCTTTACGCGTGAAGCTTCAGCACAATATTCCATAATGCCCTCAGAAAGTGAGGTTTTTTTTTTATGCGAAAAGTTGTTAAACGAGCAGACGGTTCACCTGATGTTAAGTGAATACCGCCGCCCATGGACATCTGCCACACCCGAGCGTTACAGATGCGTTGACAACCATTTGAAAATTGGGCTCCGGCTACCTCACTCACCAGACGAAACGCGAAAGTATTTGTCATACTTCCACTTTACGCTGGTCTTCTGTGAGGTCGTGGTACTCACCCGGATGGGCCTGTCCATTCGTGCAACGGCCGAGGCTGCTGCGTGGCTCTACCACTGTATAATACCTACCCTACCTACCCTTCCGAGGTAGCCGGAGCCTAATTTTCAAAAGGTTGTCAACGCATTTGTAACCCCCCGAGGGTTTGTAGCAGATGTTTATGGGCGACAGTATTCACTTAACATCAGGTGTACCGTCCGGTCGCTTGGCAACTTTTCACACAAAAAAAAAGACTGATGATGTAGAAATTTTCAAGACGAGAGCGAATAACCTATTACTCAGTTCGTATCTTAACTGTTTACGGCTTTAGTTAAGGTGAAAACTGTGTAGTTATACTTACTATCAGGTAGGATAGTGCATATCCATTAGACAGTTTACGATGAAGCCAATCAATGGTACCTTTCTAACCTGTTTGCTGATACTCCTATAAATTACTCGGGAATCCATTATGTGTAAAACGAGTTGAACGCCTACGAAATACTTTTAAGTTTTAGATCGAACAATAACTTGTATTAAAACTAAGATACGTAAACAGCTGTACCATTCAGACTGTAGTTACTGTGTTATTATATTCTTCAATCACAGTAAAAGAAATTCATTCAGACGAGTGTACCGCGACCGACATTATTAAAACACCTTAACTTTTCAACACGAATAAAACTTTGCGAAAATACCGTCAACAGAGGGCGCTGTCATTAGCCCCTGGAAAATACAAAGATTGCTCCAGTGGAGTAAAAGGAAACCGAGCCCTTTGTGAGAGAGACTGCGGTGTTCGGTTTGCAACTGGTGCACGACCGCAACATTGCTCAATGCAGCCTCGCTCTCCGACTGTTGCCAATTTGCGTGTAGAAATCGATCTCGAATACAATAATGTCATCTATTTATTATATGCACAGCTATTGTTTCAGTTCAGTTCTCTGGTAAACTTGGAAAAGATAAATAACTTAAGAACGTTGTTAGAGAGGTTACTTAGGATGAATTATTAAAAATCCTTTCTCAGTTTTCGCTTAGCTACGGCAACTTAAAAGACGGTAAAATTTCAAGCTTCTCGACCCTCTTTCCGGTTAAACAGTGTTGCCTTGATAGGAGTTTTTACTTTCCACCTCGACTTAAAAATTGTAACTAAGCATGGGCTACAATCGAGCGACTCGTTTCTTTGCCAAGAGCGTGTAGTTTCGACTTTTTGCCCCAAGGTTGTAGTTCTTCTATGTATCGACTTCCTTCTATTATCTATCTTCCATCCACCAGTACATAACATTTTTTTAGAACACATCAGTATAAGTTTACTTTAATTAGCTGTTCATTATGTAAGTCGATCACTTAGCTGATATGATATCAGTGCATTAAGTTGTGCTCGTATGATCATATCGTAGGATCACTCGGGCGTTAAAAATAAGTTCATTTATTCAAATATCGTTATTCAATATAGAACACTCAACTCACATATTTTGTAAAAATTCTACTACTACTGGTTCGGAAAAGACAAGAAATTGATCTGAGAAGAACTGGCCGAAGAACCACAGCGCGATACTTTCTTTACCATTTATGACAATGAAAACATGTTCACAATATATTACAGTCCAATTGAAAGAGCCTGGGACGATCAAGTAATTTCCAGATAGCGTTACCATTTAAATAGTCAATAATGTTATAATAGCCTTTAACACAAAGGTTGTTTTGATTTTAGCATTTAATAAATTATGAACGTGTTCCGGGACTTTGTTATAAAAACGTATACACTGTCCAATTGAAGAAACTGAACAGGACAACCCTTCCTACTCAATCGACCTCGCGAATTCAGCGGTACAATCGATCGGCTGGAACCGCTCGAAACGCGCCGGCTTCGTTAGTTAACCGACTGTCGGTTGTTTATTTTCGAAGGCGCCTAACGAACCGCGCGTGTCATAACAGTTGTGCCCGGCTTTGTGCACGGCACGCCCACTACCCTCGGCCGCTCGCTGTTCCTCCTCGGGCGCGTGTTGCGTGTCTGGATGCGCCACAATGGGCCGGCGGCATTGTGAGTGGAGCAGATGCGTGCGGATAATGCCTGGGTTCGAAGCGGTGCGGTCCGCTCGCTTTGTGAGAGGCAACCACTTGGCAGCTGTCGCCGAACGGTGGATCGGATAAATTGCGCCGTCTCGTATGTGTGATTTGAATGTATATACACCAAGTGTATTCGATAAAGTAGTAATAACTCGTTTGATCGATCCGGCAATAACAAAGGTGTGACCTAAACGCAAATAAAAAAGTAATATACAAAAAAAATTGCGATGGTGGATGGATACAGAAGAACCCATAACAATAGTTTCAGCTCGGCATTAGGTTGGACAACGTTAGTATTTTGTTGAGAGTTTTAAAAGTATTGTGTCTGTTTGTTAGATTAAATAACACTTGTCATCAGAATACCACATACTATTACATAATAAACACAAAAAATTCGATCGATACTGAGTTATTCAAGAGTGTAAGAACTTGTGTATTTAACTTTTGTGCGTAGGTGAAGGAACTTACGTGTCTATTCCACAAGTGAAAGGATATGCTTTGGCGTTAATATTTAAATTCCGTCAAACTTACAAACAAATTCATAGCTGTAGAAATACTTTATTAATTTCTTACAATGTAGCTAAATTTATGACTGTTTAAATTGCACGTTGTAATACTTAAGTAAAAAACATCAATACGGTCATAAAACTAATTTCATTCATGGTCGCTATCGCCCTAAATCTTCGCGTTTTGTATCGCGTATAATGCTTTGTCGTATCAACGCTGATCAATATCATTTATTAAACCCCAATGTTACGAAACAAATTAATATTCGTAACTACCAAAGGATATTTTGCAAATAAACACTTTCGGATTCGTAAAAAACCAAGCAAACAATTAGATTTTTTTTCATGTGAGAAAGTGGCTACCACAATCACCAGACGAAACGCAGAAGGGTAACAGTTCTACTTTACGCCGGTCTTCTGTGAGGTCGTGGTACTTACCCGAACGGACCTGCCCATTCGTGCAACAGTGAACACTGTTGCGTGGTCCTACCACAGTCAAAGTAGATTACTTAGAAGCTGTAACATGACGGCACGGAAATAAGCGATCCACGCGAAGATATGTTCGCTCTCCGTTTCTATAACATGGATACAGGGTCGACACTCGCGTCGACGCGCGTATAAAGTCCCGTCTGCCAACTGTCGCGGCAGTCGCGTGCGTGCAGGCCCGCGGCTGCTGCGTTGCAAATTGCGGCCACTTATGCCCGGGCCATTACCGAGGCCCGCGGCTTTTTGGCCGTATAAATCATTCGGACCAAACGGAGGCATCGCGATGCGAGTTTTTGGTGGCCCTGCGAGGGAATCGATTGCGATCGCATTTAAGCACTGAACAATCGCTTCTGGATTGCGTCCGGCGTCCTCTTGCCTCGTCCCCTAATTGTGGACTGGTAACATTCGAGATGATGGAGTAACGATGTCAGTGTCAGTTCAGTGTCCGATAAGCCTTGTCTGCTAATGAATTTTCACTATTCTTGTTTTATTACTGTATTTGTAACTTGAAAAGGGAGGAAAAGGAATACATGATAGATACGTGGGCCCCGCTTACTCACTCAACACACGAAACGCAGAAGTGTAACACTTCTACTTTAAGCCGATCTTGTAAATTATCCGGTACGTGATAATTATATTGGTGAGAGCGAAAATATCGACCGAGGATGATAGGGGAATTGTTGAAGTCTATTGTTAAATTTTTTCGGCGTTCGTGAATGGGAGAGCTCAGCCCTTTGGGGCGCACGTGTGCGGCTTCCTGTTCGCATTTCGGCGTGGACGCGCCTAAAGCTACCGATCGCTATCTGCGCAGTCGGGCGTTGTCGCGCGTCAACGCCGATCGCCTAAACGGCCTACGTAAAATATGGACGCACGCGTTTGATGGGCGATAAGTTTTCGAAGCGATCCTTCGTTAGGTTTGGTGTTAGTGGGGTTGAGGCTCGCTTCATTAACATTTTAAAACAATAACAGATATGTTTTATCAGGGAAAAGAACAGAACTTATAAAGGGGATTTTACGTTACACATGAGAATTAGGTCACTTTTAATTATTTACATAAAAGTTGGTGAAATTAAATATTGTAAAGACATTCTTGTATATTAAAAAAACTATAACATTTAAAAGAAGAGATATAGAGTACATCTATGATTTTTAATTACTATTTGTCATTATCCTTTCACCCTATTTTATTCCAATTCTGTAAAGCCTACCCCATAGGCTGTTTCAAAGCATTATCCTGAGCAACCTGCATCCACCGACTTCCCACATATTTGCACTGGTAACACTGTCTAGTGGGGACTCGTTTCCCCAATACTCAAGTCAATTCCCCATCGGTTATCAGTTCTACCAGTTATTTAGCTGCCCATTACCACTTCAGCTTACCAATCTCCTGAGCTATGTCGCTTACCTTCGTTGTACTGCGGCTCTCTGCATTGCTAGTTACTGCTGAGTGAGTATTTGAGTGGCGAGGCTAGAAGCTGGCAATATTTGAATTTTGAAACGCTAAAAATAAAAAAAAAATTATCACCAAAGATTTCTGGCCAGTGCCATCAGAATGCAGCGACGTCCGTGTAAGAATTTTAGATTGTCTGATTCGGAAGCGGTTCAAAAATAGTACTGGCTCCCACAACACTCGCTTACCGTCGAAAGAGTGATGTGAGCTTAATAGTAAGCCAATGGTGGCAGGTGTAAGGATGGAGGCGTGGCCGTAACAGCTGGTCGGGGGCTTAGGGAAATGAAGGCGCGCCGGATGGCAGGGATAATAGACCGCGTTAATCTATTTCTAACCTGCGGCAGCCTACCGATACAATGTTAGCGTTAACCGAAAATTCCGCGCGATGACTTTTTGTTGGATCTTCATTGCAAATGGGTAAACATGTTCTTATATAATTAATGTTCTTACATGTTAATTTAATTTTTTGTTTTTTTATTTTATTTTATTTAGGGCACACTTTTACACAATGTTCTCTATTCCCAAACTAAGTAACGCTTGTTCTATGAGTACTAGGTAGGTTATAAACATACTTAGATATACTTTTTTTTTAATGAATACATATTACACATATGTTGATAAACACCCAGACACTCTAAAAATATTATTTTCATCACACAATAGTATTCCAGTTGTGGGGATCGAACCCTCGCCATTCGGGTCGTCGAAATTCGAAACATGTGTCTAATGTCGTTCGAATTTGGCCAATAACCCCCTAATTAAAATCTTCCTGACGTATTATTTGATTTTAAACTTGATGAAAAAAGCTCAAGGGTACAAGTAAATTAATATTATTAAACGCGTATTCGTTCTTTTAATAAAGCGATGAACACGGGGGTGTTAATGTGACGAAGTAACAGTTTGTATGTTAATTCCTTTACGGTATATCCTTGTTACAGTGTATTTTATAGTGTAGTACTACTATACCTACCAATATCTTTTAAAGGAGCTGTTAATAGTTATACTCTTACGGTTTTTTTTTGTGTGAAAAGGTGGCAAATGAAACAATGGAACCTACTTCAAATACCTCGCTCGGTATTTATTTTATTATGGATTTTCAGGATTTCCCTACGTATCTCCGGAGCCCAAAATCCAATACCCATTAAATTAATATGTGACCACATGGGAACCACCAGCTTTCAAATAAAAAGAGAATGATCAAAATCGGTTCACTCGGCCGAAAGTTCTGAAGTAACAAACATTAAAAAAAATGCAGTCGAATTGAGAACATCCTTCTTTTTTGGAATCGGTTGAAAATTAATATCATTTAAATTGGGTGGGTAACTATGCGATGGTTCCCGGACTTCACCAGGCCATAATAAGTTTTGCGCGGCCTATGGGCTCGGCCGTTGCGAAATCGGGCGCGCCGAGCCGCCGCCGGTCGTTTCCAAAGGGCCCTCAGCCCGTGGCCATTTGAATATTAATACGTCCACGTACTGGCGCGTGCAAATTCGTTTTGCGTCTGCATCGCGCATTTATGTTGATGACGATCCCCGATATAGCGGAAGCATACAAGCAGCGAGCGTGTAACGCATGCGCCGAGTAATTATTTCGGTGGCCGCGGGTCGTTTTGCGTTATCTGTAGGTACAGTTGCGTGTAGATAATGTAACATGCCCGCCTTGCATGTGTGAACTCCGATGCACTCATGTTGTTCTCTTTTTAAATATTCCCTACCGTAAGATAACCTTATCCTGTGTAGCAAGGACGTCACATACGGACATTCCACCTGGCTACCAGATACGGGACTCTGCGTGACACACAGATGACTGTCACCTAACCGTGTAGAACTGTGGCAGGGCCACGCAACACTCTTCCCTGTTGCACGAATGGGCAGGTCCGTCCGGGTAAGTACAACGAGCTCACAGAAGTCCGGCTTGATTTGGAATTGTTATACTTCTGCGATTCATCTCGTGAGTCAGGTAGCTGGGGTCTATTTTATTAAAAGGTGGCAACGCATCTGCAACACTATGGGTGTTGCAATTGTCAAAGGGTGGCGGTTATCACTTAACACCAGGTGAAACACCAGCTCGTATCCCAGTTACATAAAAAAAGATACTTGTTCGTATAAAGAAAAAATTGTGCATTATTTATAATTAAAATTTTTTCTTTATACGAACAAGTATCTGCTTTTTTAAAAATTGTGCATTATATATAATTACAATTTTTTCTTTATACGAACAAATATAAACTGCAAATATGACTGCCGTGTTTGTTCATTTATGTAATCTTTATAAAATTTATACGCAAAACCATAAGGACACAAAAAAAACGGACTTAAATCTTGTTGGCGGTGAGATTTTATCACAGTCCAATTAATTACGTGTCATGGGAATTTTTATTTGGTGTGGTTTAACTTAGCCATGCGTCGGTAGATTGCGCCGGCCAAGAGAGCTCGTTTCAACGGCCAAAAATCGAGTAGGGTTGTTTTAAATCGACATCACTTTCACGCGACCGGGAATCAGTGGAACGTGAACGCGAGACGTTCTCCAATTTCTTATTTCACCGCCTCCTCAAGCCCGGAACCCGCCTACGACGCCCGATAAAGGAGTCCAACCCTCATTTGGCTTCTGTCTTGCGAAATCCTTCGTAGTACGGCCCTTCCGTCTAGCAGCGAAATGTTGGGGCCGGCCGCCCTTGGACGCGCCGCCGTGCCCAGCCCGGGGGATTTTAATTCGGCGCCCGCCCGCTGCGAAAGGATTACCGGGGAGACTCGCAATTAGTCTGGGAGCGGGTCCTCTGACGCATACGTTGCATGGATTAAAGCTCGATCTTCTCCCGGGCTTTTTTTTCTTTCCCGGGAGTTCCGTTCGAGTTGGGGTTGATGTTTTTCATTTCTTCTCATGAGACACTTGTCTACAGTGCTGGTATTGTAATGTGTTATGCTGTGGTAGGTGTTGTATTAGTAAAGAATAAATTTTCTTATTTTGTTGGTTCGCCTTTTTTGCCTGTCGTGACTTTTTTATTTCTGTTATTGCTTTTCTTTGAATGACATTTTCGCTTTAAGACCTTGTACCACTAAAGCTTCATCGAGTTTATTTGACTGCCTTTGCAAAAGTCTAGAAAATATTTTTTTTCTGGAATGCCGGTTTTTACTACAAAACTTTGTTGTCAAAAACACATTCTTGCAGAAAAACGTTAATACTCAACAAATTATTTTCAGTAGTGGTAGGGCCACGCAGCAATCTTTGCTGTTGCATGAATAGGCAGGTCCGCCCGGGGAACCTCACAGAAGACCGACGTGAAGTGGAAGTTTTATTCTTCTGCATTTCGTCCGGTGACCGAGGTAGCCGAAGTCTACTTTATTTAAAGTTGGCAACGCATCTGCAACCCTACGCTTACCGCAAATGTCCATGGTTGGCGGTTACCACTTGACATCTGGTGAACTTACATTAAAAAAATTATATAAAAACATTTTAAGATGTGATTGGTGCACTGACTTATTTCTAAAGGCTCCTGTCGATCCTAAGTCAACATTGGAGTCATACTCCAGACTCTACACTCTGTGTCACAGAATCTGTGGACAAACTTAAATGCACCCGAATGAAGTTGCCGCCCCAAGCCCCAAGAATACTGCCCGTGTCTATCGCTGTATAAGTCGAGTCATCGCTTATTATAAGAAGAGCCCACTATATTAAAAAGCTGTTAGCACAACCGCATAACAACATTCGCGAGTATATCTCTACAGTGGGAGCAGGATAGAAAGCGATTTTGGACTAGGGCGCGAACGAGACGGCAATAGCCCAATCGATATAAATCGCGAGTATATTATGAGCGAACTTCAGAGCCATGTTTAAACTTCGAACGTCCTATACATCACGATGCTCTGAAGGTATCGTGCCGGTAGCAGTCGAGTGAGACGGTAGCTGACTTTTCGTGGGAATCTCGGCGATTTGTTCATTGTATCGTTCTCGACGGCTGTATGGTCGGTCGATTATGAACTTATAATGTCACTCGTTCCATTTACGAATAATCGCTGAGTTATTGCGCCACTGGAGTTCTTTTTTTAAACAACGTGACTGGAAAATGTGGATTGCCAGATTCACGAAGACGAATTGTATATCTTCCTCCAATTATGCATTTTTTATAAAAAAAAATTAACACGTGACATAATCATTATATACTCATATATAATCATTATATATAATTTTCTTAACATAACAACAACATATTTTACTTTTAGAGATAATACTTTTATGGTCAAGTCTTACGTCATGATACGAAAATGATGCTAGCTCAAAGAGTTCTGTCAATGATATAACTTATACCAGGAAACACAATTATCCTTTATCTCATTTCTTTTAGAGAAAGGTGTTTACATATTCCCATAATATGTATTTCTTTAAAATAAGTTATGTAAATAAGTTATCTTAATTTCATTATTATTGTTTATTGCATAATGCATCAAACGTGTTATCGTTTTGTAATAAATTATATTCTGCTTTAATTCAACTGTCGTTAGTTTCTAGAACTGTCAAACTGTTTGATATATGTGTGTGTATGAGACTTGTCGATAGATAAGTGTTTGACAATAACGTATTGCAGTTACGGTCATAAATTAGTTAATACGATGAATACAAATAGGTTTTGTAATTAATAAATAAACAATTTATAAATATATGAAACATAGATATTATTCTCACTAACGCCCTTTGCAGTAACTGGTTACTCGTAAACTTAACATACTTTATGTTAATTTCGCCGACCACGAATGTCGTAGGTACGTACGAACTGGGCAAATTTGTTTTAGTATAATCTCATTATAGTACATATATTTTACGTTGATATACATATGTTGACATTACATACATATATTTTACGTTGATATTTGTTTCCCGCATAAGGAAGTAGGTATTTCACCTGTTAGACGACTATCGCTGATGCAAATGGGGTCATCATCATAATTTAAGCCAATCAAGTCCACTGCCGAGCATAGGCCTCCCTCACAGAATGCCACGAAGCACAGTCTCCTCAGAAACCTGCATCCTGCAAATTAATCCATTATATCAACCTTTTAATAGTAGCCCAAAAATATAATAAGAGTACTACACTTCGGACTTCTGTGCGGTCGCGACACAATTGGTGTAGTGGAACAAGTGCAACTAGAACATAGTGAAACTATCTCTTGCTCCAAGGGGTGTGGGTTCGTAGTGGGAACTGGAAAAATATTGTGTGATCCTATTGACCTAGCTTTTTTCTAGTGTCTGGGTGTTTATATGGGGGATATTCCAGCGCAAGCGGTGTATTCCACCAGCGGCGGGTGCCGTTTGCTGGATCCGAGAGGACCCTGCCGACACCAAGCCAACTGGTGGGGATGATGGATGCGAGGTACTGCTTGGTGGTCGTGGAGTACCCGCGCTCGGCTGGCGTCCCGCATGCTGCCACGTCCAGCGCCAGCTCCAGACGCGCCCCGGCGGCCCCCAGGCAGCGGCCCCATGCGCATTCATATATTTATTTATAATTATATATGTTTATTTATAACGTCCGTTTAGCTATGTATATCTTTACGCTTATCTTTAAGTACGCTGAAGTATGTTATCTAGTACGTAGGTAATATTGGGTCTAGATAACATTGCGTAAATGCACATAACATGTCCTGAAATACCCAGACAAGCCTGCCAGTTCGCTCACAGCCTGAATTACTGCCAAACCTGCCAAAATTCAAAGTTATTCCGTCACGCTGTTTTGTTTCGATCCGCTTGGTAACAAAATTGTTTAAATATAGACGCGATTCTTGCAATCGGTGTATGGCGTAGCTGACATTAACTTACCAACGCGTCGATGCAGGACGATGGCAGCGAGTAAACCCATAAATATGGTTTAGTGCCCGTCCGAAGCGACTAAAAAAATGACGAAGTCGATGTAATAAAGGTTTATCGTCGAAATCCGATATCAGTTGCTATTTCAGCGATGCTTATCTCGCCAATTAACGATAATTGTCTTTTTAAAACACGTACATGTTGACATTTTTCTCCGCCCACAGCATACTTTGAATCCGTCCACACGGAATTCGATTAGAACGACCCTTAATTCAATTAGGTTCGAATCTCGCAGCGCCGTAACTTTTTCGACAATTTTTATACAAAAAAGTTGCATCACATTTTAAGTGCAGAGACCACTAGCACTAAAATATTAATGATAGGACGGATAGCTTAAAAAAACGACGAAAAAAGTATGGTATTTAGTACATGTTAAGGTTCAATGTTGTTTGATTGAACTTTGTGTGCACCCTTAATTTAATTAGGCACTTCATAATGTCCATTGAAGAAAAATCAATCCCGTTTTCGAGTGCGGCATAGAGATACCCTCTATGCCGCACTCGAATTTTGCCGGTATTTTAAATATAAATTAATACTATTTATTTAGCAAACAACACATCTTTTTCCATATTTTAAACAACACAATCATTTTAGGATTTTTTTTTGTTAATACTAGTCACTGCGCTTAAGGTGAAACTAGCAATTTAAATAAATTAATAATTTTTAATCACGTCCTGCTCAGCAGGCAATGTTCGATATCAAAAATCCTTTCCCAAAGCTGGTTTTCTTTTGGAGATTTCATACTCTAATGAAGGCGCCTCAGTTGCTAGAACGGTTGACCGTTCTAATTGTTTATTGTGGCATCTCCTTCTCTAGATATAAACTCTTGGTTTCAAAATTAGAATGATGTTGGTAGAAACAGTGTGAAGTTCGTTCTGCAAAAACACGTCGACAACCACCACTTCCCCCGGATAGGGTCTATGCCTGAGCTAGCAGACTAAGCAGTACAACCCTTTTCTAACGCCTATTTATGCTCTTATCCCTACTTTGATAAAAACACTTTAATTTAAATTTAAAACTATGGACAAAACACTTTGAAAATTTGTACAATGATCAACAAGAATGACAAATATTTGAATGCATATAATTTCATAAAAAAACTTTTCAATAAAATTAATTTACTCATCGAGTATATAGATTATAGACAACAATTTTTAACAGTTGAAAATATTAAGAATTTTTTAAAAAGATCACCAACTATTATTAAGAAAACGGAAACAAAAGATAATAAGTACAACAAATTGTTTAAAAAAAACACCATACCTTATTACTTTCATCATATGTCCCAAAAATAATCAAATATGCCATATGCCGTCTCCTAACCATGCACCTAAAAAGGCACAATACATTTCTCTTTTAGAAACAACAGTAAAGGAAGTCTTGCAAAATGTAAATCAAAAAAAAATATACAACAGTACTATTTCTTAAGCATTCCATCGTGTCTCACATGATCAGTTATTTGCGAAATTAGAGCCATTAGCCTCTTATTTGGCAAGTAACTGATCATGTGATGAATAAGGATGCTTACAGCTCGCTAGAAAGCTCATTAATATAGCTCATATATAGCGCAAATAATATAGCTCAGGTATATAGGTCGGAATTAAAAAAAAAAACACTTTCGGCCTTAGGGCCTTGGGCCTTGAAATTGTACAAAAATGATTTGTCTGATGTCTCAAATTACAAAATCACTTTATTCGCCAATGTCATCTAAGTGACGATTACGACAAGTAAAATAAAATTACTAGAGCAACATAAAACGGACATAATTAAAACAGTGAATTCATAGATATATGAAATGGATAAATGGCTAAATAAAAATAATCTACACATTAATTTAAGTAAGATACATATCATTCATTTTAATAACTTAAATTTTGATATAAATATTAAAAATTATGGACAACTTCTGCGGAACGCTATTAATACAACATTTCTAGGTTTAATTATAGACTCTAATCTAAATTGGAAGGAACATATACATAACGTGTGTAACAAAATTAACAGATTTGTATATGCGTTACATAAATTAACAAAAATATCAAATAGAAATACAGCGATCACAGCGTATTTTGCATATGTAGAATCTGTTATCAGATACGGACTCATAATTGCATTGGCACAGAATGTCAAAAAGTATTTTTAGCTCAAAAGCGCTGTATTAGAGCTATTAGTAACATTTCATCAGACACATCATGCAAGACTTATTTTAAGACTTTAAATATACTTCCTTTTCCTTGTCTCTATATATTTGAGGTTTGCGAATTTGTAAAGCAAAACAAGAACATGTTTTTATAAGCTAAAGATGTGACAAAAATAAACTTACGGAATCAAAATAAAATAGTACTAGACACAATTCCAAAAAGTAAGCGCGTTCAAAAAAATACTTATGTAATGTGCAATACTATTTATAACAAGATACCCTCACATATTACCATATAATATGTAATGTTTAAAACTTCGTAAACGACGATGGCTGTTAGAGAAACCTTTTGACACTATGAATGAGTTTTTAAATTCTAATGTCTAAATGTTGTTCCTATTATTTTATTTAATCTTTTTTGTTTAAAAACCGATGCATTAATTAATTAACATATCAATTAAAATTATATCAGGACATTATCAGTTATTTGTAAAAAAAATAGAATTAACTGTATTACGAATATATGTTCTGGACAATTGCATGCTGTTAAAAACAGCTAAATAGGGTAGGTTTTTCACATTTTGGCTGATAGGAATAGGAGAGTTGTCAAAAACTATTTGTGGGAGACAGCCAAGATCAACGTTTCTAATGTTATGACTTCTCCCGATGATAGTGGCTTGACATTTAGATGGATAAACAGTTAATCCAAACCGCCAAGAGTATACCGCCTTGAGGAACACCAGCAACAAGATTAATCCAGCATGATGAAGATTCACCGACATTAACTGATTGCTGGCGTCCTTGAAGATAGGAAGAAAACCATACCAGTGCTTCATCAGAAACCATGTTGTAGCAGAGGATGGATAAAAGGATATCGTGACTGACGGTATTAAAAACATTTGAGAAGTCGATAAGGACCATAATTGTCATCTTACCGTTTTTATATATTTATCATTTTATTCACTTTAAACGTAGAATATTTAATGTAGTGAACAGAATATTAATTTATAGAATTGATCAAAATAAATAACGATATAAATCATCGTTCGCGTAACATCACACTTTTCGTAACGCTCCTCATTAGCTTAGCTTACTCCCCAAGTCAAGCGTGCGTAAAGTAGTTTTACTTCAAGAGTAGCCTCTTCTTAGCTCATGGCAGTTTAACCGTTCGAAAGTTAAATATTTTAATCATGTGAATAAGGACTTACGCTACTAGTGTGATGCTACATACGAAAGTACTACAGCGAAGCCGAAAACAAAACAATTTGACTGTTTACACAAATGTTGGGCTCTCAGACGGCGCGTAGACGACATTCCGGCGTGTATGCATAGTTATTCTCAGCATGTAGTCGCATACCGACTTTATTTATTATTAGTCTCCTCCACTGCTTAAAAGCTAAGATTTAGCAGAGAGCCAATTTAGAGAAAATATTCTTATTTTCAAATATTGTAAAAAGTGTATTTGTTTTTTATGAAGATTCGTCCGTAGTCACGTTTCCTCGCACTACTTGTAATGAGGTTTTGTTTGACGTATTGACCGGCTTCGTTGCTGTACTCTGATAGCACTGAACAGCCAACTTTCGTTATCAAAATTCCCTATTACTAAGTCTCGTTCTCTTTCCGATTCTGATGAAGGCCTGTCCTAAGACTGTTACCTGGGAGTGTGGTGAATTTGACCGTCGAGCCAGTAAACGGATGATAGTCCGTTATGGTAATCTATAATTTTATCTAATATAACTAGCAATAGACTTATATATTGTTGTAATATAAAACATAATGAAGATTGGAAAGGTAAATAATTAATGCAAATTGCGGACACGTACAAAGTGCAAAGTCTCGCAATTTACGTCGCAGACTTATTATTTCAGGCAACCAAATTATACTGCGAATAGCTCTATTGTTTTATGCTAGTACAGCTGCCTAAGGTGGCTTACTTGAGTATAATAATCCCCACATTATTCTTTCCCAGCTAAAATCAAAGAACAAATCCTTTTTTCTGGGCTTTTGCGTGTAGTTAGACAAAATAAAGAACCCGATCGCAAATCTAGATAGCTCTAAGGAATTATTTGCTTGCTTTGTGCTATTAATTTATTCATTAACTTTTAAGTAACGCATTGTATAAAGACAAGGTTCGTAGTTGAGCCTTGTCTTTATTTCCCTTTTTGGAGTCTCCATCCGATGAAACCATACATAGATTTTTAGTCTGAAAGCAAGTCCGCATTCAGAGCCTGTGCTTAGTGAACAACGATACATACCTTCATGAATTTACGGGTGTTCCTCTAATCGAACACAATGCAGACGTGTCTTTAAAACTATAGTTATAGTCAACAGTTCTATAGTTAGACTCATTGCACACTGGACTTGTATTAAACATATGATTTTATATTTAATCTGTATCAGTAAGCTCTAGTAGTTTAGTTCATATTCTATAGAAAACTAAATTAGGTGTTTTTAAATAAGTGTTAAAGTTTAGAAACTCTAGTTAATGGGAGGTATACAATCGTGTCGTTACCACGTGGTTACAATACAAAGCACACCTGTTGAACGGTTAGTCTCACTACTAGGCGCTGGTAATAAAAAATAGTACCGCGTCTCAGTTCTGCCGCTTCTCCCCCCACCGGCGCTGTCACGTCACCCGCCATTCATTACGAGATAACATGTGTAGTGGCCGTTCACAATGGTTATGCTAATGCGGTAGGAGATCGCGATCAAATAATAATATCGGGCGGCGCACACTTGCCGCGGATCGATTGCGCGCCATCTGGACCGTTCGCGAGCGTCGGGCGCGAGTCGCCACACTGCTTTCGGGTTCCGCATGTTTTGTATGAATTAAAATTTACAATTTTTTCATG